GCTAAAATATTTGGTCACTGATGTAACTATATTATGAAACTAGGTAGTCAATAGGAGAAACAGCTCTAAACAGTGCAATAGCTCGGCATATAATTCGTACCGAGCATACTACCAATATACCACAATCCTTTCAAATCGTTAGCAGAAAAAAACACGTAGGGTCTCTCCGGCTTTCCGAAGCACCAACAATAAAAAAACTAAAACCTGACTTGTTTATCCACAATGAGATAATAATCAACTTATTTCTACCATGGTAAAATATTTCTTTTATGATCATCATTTTATTAGCGTTTATTTTGTTATGTGGTCTTCGCTAAACTAACTCTTATTTTATGTAAACTAAAATTATCCGTTTATTCGTGTGGTCTTTATTCACTTAATGCTCCTGTGTAAACTTCAAATCCTGTTCAATTATTACATAACCTGCCTTATTAACTTTTAATTCCTGTAATTATATTTAAACCCTTCAACACCTGAAATTATCGCAGTCTTATCTGTCTCCGGACCTCATTTAATTACTAGTCATTCCCTCCCCGAATGATTTTGAATTCCATCTTCCAATGAACTCACACCTGTCATTGTACAGACATATATATAGTATTGGCAATACTTGTCATTTTAATTCTTTCCGTCATCAAAGTCTAATGTTTCCCATTATATCATACCTTAATGCCAACTTTTACTACATATATGGTTGTAAGCAGCTGATGCTAAACCACAAAATATAATGAATTCATATTCTGCCTCAATCGTTGTTTTAGCTTTATTCAAACTAGTGAAGAACATTAGGGCTGGTAAGCGGAAATATGTAGGAGACCTGAGAACGACAGCAGGAAAGTTTGCAAAAGAAGGAATTATATAAGAACTACATGATACTATTAAAAAGCCAGTGGAGAAAGAAAAGCAGTACACAGACCTCCCTACAGATATTGCTTCACCAACAGCAAGAGATATTAGCAAGGCAACCATATAAACCAGTAATGCCAAAGTACCATAACCAGAGAGCATACCATTGCTGATGTCACAGGTATTCAGTGTTTGACAACGCTTCTACCAGTAACACCTTCTTATGTATTTCGTTCCCACCCAGAGAAATCAAACGACAGGGTCGAGGAGATCGGAAGAGTATATTTGGCGATGACCAATATATCGGAATTCTCTGATCTAATCCGGCTAGCGATTGCGGTTGATGTTGAGCACGGCGTTACCACACGTGATCTGGTGCGGATGCCTGACCAAGCGCCTTCAGCTAGATGAGTCCACTAAAACATATGGTTAGCATCCAATGTCGAAAACTTACAGGGCTATTTATTTTGGAGATTTATTTACCGCTACAATATTTTTCACTTTGCCAATAGGATAAGAGCTATCACTATCCATCTGGATTCCTGTTGCATATAGTAATTCAGATGACTCCGGTATTTTGGCAAGTTTGGTTATGGGGTCCGAAGAGGAAATCATATTCGGTTCTGATAGTCTCTTGAGGGTTTGTAAGAACTTTGGATGAATGATAATCTTTTCATTTAGTGCCTTTGCAACACCTTCATATGTCACATCATCGTGAGTAGAACCTATACCCCCCGATGTTATTACGTAGTCGTAACGGTTCATATAGTTGCGAACTTCCTCTGCGATAGCATCTGAGTCATCGGGAATAACAGAAATCTACATTAGGGTGTTATCTTGTGCACTTAAGTTACCTTCCGAAGTCGTACACCAAAAAGCGGGGCAGTGAGGCATACTTGTCGTGAATTGGAATCTTTCGCTTTTCCATTCAGTATTTCGTCACCGATAACTGAAATTAGTTGTGGTTAAGGGAGATCTGTGAATAAACTAATCACTTGCAACAAATATTTTTTAGGTGTGACAAAGTCTCAAGTCCGGTGGCAGACACTATCTAAGAAGGATGTACAGTTTCTTGATGTGGGTTCGTGTAGCTCGTGAAATATGTGTCATCGGGATAATGCGTGCCTAGCGTCCCATAGTTAGAGCGAATCTGTGTACATAACAATGGGAAACCTTAAGTTTCACGAGATATGAACCTGTGTCGATCAATATACTGTAGGAACACGCTAGTCCGACTATTGGGAGGATTGTATATCTGAGTAGCTAGGTACATTTTGAGGACATGTGGTAAGTTTCGGATTTCCGAAGTCAAATAGAGCATGCTAAAATATTTGGTCACTGATGTAACTATATTATGAAACTAGGTAGTCAATAGGAGAAACAGCTCTAAACAGTGCAATAGCTCGGCATATAATTCGTACCGAGCATACTACCAATATACCACAATCCTTTCAAATCGTTAGCAGAAAAAAACACGTAGGGTCTCTCCGGCTTTCCGAAGCACCAACAATAAAAAAACTAAAACCTGACTTGTTTATCCACAATGAGATAATAATCAACTTATTTCTACCATGGTAAAATATTTCTTTTATGATCATCATTTTATTAGCGTTTATTTTGTTATGTGGTCTTCGCTAAACTAACTCTTATTTTATGTAAACTAAAATTATCCGTTTATTCGTGTGGTCTTTATTCACTTAATGCTCCTGTGTAAACTTCAAATCCTGTTCAATTATTACATAACCTGCCTTATTAACTTTTAATTCCTGTAATTATATTTAAACCCTTCAACACCTGAAATTATCGCAGTCTTATCTGTCTCCGGACCTCATTTAATTACTAGTCATTCCCTCCCCGAATGATTTTGAATTCCATCTTCCAATGAACTCACACCTGTCATTGTACAGACATATATATAGTATTGGCAATACTTGTCATTTTAATTCTTTCCGTCATCAAAGTCTAATGTTTCCCATTATATCATACCTTAATGCCAACTTTTACTACATATATGGTTGTAAGCAGCTGATGCTAAACCACAAAATATAATGAATTCATATTCTGCCTCAATCGTTGTTTTAGCTTTATTCAAACTAGTGAAGAACATTAGGGCTGGTAAGCGGAAATATGTAGGAGACCTGAGAACGACAGCAGGAAAGTTTGCAAAAGAAGGAATTATATAAGAACTACATGATACTATTAAAAAGCCAGTGGAGAAAGAAAAGCAGTACACAGACCTCCCTACAGATATTGCTTCACCAACAGCAAGAGATATTAGCAAGGCAACCATATAAACCAGTAATGCCAAAGTACCATAACCAGAGAGCATACCATTGCTGATGTCACAGGTATTCAGTGTTTGACAACGCTTCTACCAGTAACACCTTCTTATGTATTTCGTTCCCACCCAGAGAAATCAAACGACAGGGTCGAGGAGATCGGAAGAGTATATTTGGCGATGACCAATATATCGGAATTCTCTGATCTAATCCGGCTAGCGATTGCGGTTGATGTTGAGCACGGCGTTACCACACGTGATCTGGTGCGGATGCCTGACCAAGCGCCTTCAGCTAGATGAGTCCACTAAAACATATGGTTAGCATCCAATGTCGAAAACTTACAGGGCTATTTATTTTGGGGATTTATTTACCGCTACAATATTTTTCACTTTGCCAATAGGATAAGAGCTATCACTATCCATCTGGATTCCTGTTGCATATAGTAATTCAGATGACTCCGGTATTTTGGCAAGTTTGGTTATGGGGTCCGAAGAGGAAATCATATTCGGTTCTGATAGTCTCTTGAGGGTTTGTAAGAACTTTGGATGAATGATAATCTTTTCATTTAGTGCCTTTGCAACACCTTCATATGTCACATCATCGTGAGTAGAACCTATACCCCCCGATGTTATTACGTAGTCGTAACGGTTCATATAGTTGCGAACTTCCTCTGCGATAGCATCTGAGTCATCGGGAATAACAGAAATCTACATTAGGGTGTTATCTTGTGCACTTAAGTTACCTTCCGAAGTCGTACACCAAAAAGCGGGGCAGTGAGGCATACTTGTCGTGAATTGGAATCTTTCGCTTTTCCATTCAGTATTTCGTCACCGATAACTGAAATTAGTTGTGGTTAAGGGAGATCTGTGAATAAACTAATCACTTGCAACAAATATTTTTTAGGTGTGACAAAGTCTCAAGTCCGGTGGCAGACACTATCTAAGAAGGATGTACAGTTTCTTGATGTGGGTTCGTGTAGCTCGTGAAATATGTGTCATCGGGATAATGCGTGCCTAGCGTCCCATAGTTAGAGCGAATCTGTGTACATAACAATGGGAAACCTTAAGTTTCACGAGATATGAACCTGTGTCGATCAATATACTGTAGGAACACGCTAGTCCGACTATTGGGAGGATTGTATATCTGAGTAGCTAGGTACATTTTGAGGACATGTGGTAAGTTTCGGATTTCCGAAGTCAAATAGAGCATGCTAAAATATTTGGTCACTGATGTAACTATATTATGAAACTAGGTAGTCAATAGGAGAAACAGCTCTAAACAGTGCAATAGCTCGGCATATAATTCGTACCGAGCATACTACCAATATACCACAATCCTTTCAAATCGTTAGCAGAAAAAAACACGTAGGGTCTCTCCGGCTTTCCGAAGCACCAACAATAAAAAAACTAAAACCTGACTTGTTTATCCACAATGAGATAATAATCAACTTATTTCTACCATGGTAAAATATTTCTTTTATGATCATCATTTTATTAGCGTTTATTTTGTTATGTGGTCTTCGCTAAACTAACTCTTATTTTATGTAAACTAAAATTATCCGTTTATTCGTGTGGTCTTTATTCACTTAATGCTCCTGTGTAAACTTCAAATCCTGTTCAATTATTACATAACCTGCCTTATTAACTTTTAATTCCTGTAATTATATTTAAACCCTTCAACACCTGAAATTATCGCAGTCTTATCTGTCTCCGGACCTCATTTAATTACTAGTCATTCCCTCCCCGAATGATTTTGAATTCCATCTTCCAATGAACTCACACCTGTCATTGTACAGACATATATATAGTATTGGCAATACTTGTCATTTTAATTCTTTCCGTCATCAAAGTCTAATGTTTCCCATTATATCATACCTTAATGCCAACTTTTACTACATATATGGTTGTAAGCAGCTGATGCTAAACCACAAAATATAATGAATTCATATTCTGCCTCAATCGTTGTTTTAGCTTTATTCAAACTAGTGAAGAACATTAGGGCTGGTAAGCGGAAATATGTAGGAGACCTGAGAACGACAGCAGGAAAGTTTGCAAAAGAAGGAATTATATAAGAACTACATGATACTATTAAAAAGCCAGTGGAGAAAGAAAAGCAGTACACAGACCTCCCTACAGATATTGCTTCACCAACAGCAAGAGATATTAGCAAGGCAACCATATAAACCAGTAATGCCAAAGTACCATAACCAGAGAGCATACCATTGCTGATGTCACAGGTATTCAGTGTTTGACAACGCTTCTACCAGTAACACCTTCTTATGTATTTCGTTCCCACCCAGAGAAATCAAACGACAGGGTCGAGGAGATCGGAAGAGTATATTTGGCGATGACCAATATATCGGAATTCTCTGATCTAATCCGGCTAGCGATTGCGGTTGATGTTGAGCACGGCGTTACCACACGTGATCTGGTGCGGATGCCTGACCAAGCGCCTTCAGCTAGATGAGTCCACTAAAACATATGGTTAGCATCCAATGTCGAAAACTTACAGGGCTATTTATTTTGGGGATTTATTTACCGCTACAATATTTTTCACTTTGCCAATAGGATAAGAGCTATCACTATCCATCTGGATTCCTGTTGCATATAGTAATTCAGATGACTCCGGTATTTTGGCAAGTTTGGTTATGGGGTCCGAAGAGGAAATCATATTCGGTTCTGATAGTCTCTTGAGGGTTTGTAAGAACTTTGGATGAATGATAATCTTTTCATTTAGTGCCTTTGCAACACCTTCATATGTCACATCATCGTGAGTAGAACCTATACCCCCCGATGTTATTACGTAGTCGTAACGGTTCATATAGTTGCGAACTTCCTCTGCGATAGCATCTGAGTCATCGGGAATAACAGAAATCTACATTAGGGTGTTATCTTGTGCACTTAAGTTACCTTCCGAAGTCGTACACCAAAAAGCGGGGCAGTGAGGCATACTTGTCGTGAATTGGAATCTTTCGCTTTTCCATTCAGTATTTCGTCACCGATAACTGAAATTAGTTGTGGTTAAGGGAGATCTGTGAATAAACTAATCACTTGCAACAAATATTTTTTAGGTGTGACAAAGTCTCAAGTCCGGTGGCAGACACTATCTAAGAAGGATGTACAGTTTCTTGATGTGGGTTCGTGTAGCTCGTGAAATATGTGTCATCGGGATAATGCGTGCCTAGCGTCCCATAGTTAGAGCGAATCTGTGTACATAACAATGGGAAACCTTAAGTTTCACGAGATATGAACCTGTGTCGATCAATATACTGTAGGAACACGCTAGTCCGACTATTGGGAGGATTGTATATCTGAGTAGCTAGGTACATTTTGAGGACATGTGGTAAGTTTCGGATTTCCGAAGTCAAATAGAGCATGCTAAAATATTTGGTCACTGATGTAACTATATTATGAAACTAGGTAGTCAATAGGAGAAACAGCTCTAAACAGTGCAATAGCTCGGCATATAATTCGTACCGAGCATACTACCAATATACCACAATCCTTTCAAATCGTTAGCAGAAAAAAACACGTAGGGTCTCTCCGGCTTTCCGAAGCACCAACAATAAAAAAACTAAAACCTGACTTGTTTATCCACAATGAGATAATAATCAACTTATTTCTACCATGGTAAAATATTTCTTTTATGATCATCATTTTATTAGCGTTTATTTTGTTATGTGGTCTTCGCTAAACTAACTCTTATTTTATGTAAACTAAAATTATCCGTTTATTCGTGTGGTCTTTATTCACTTAATGCTCCTGTGTAAACTTCAAATCCTGTTCAATTATTACATAACCTGCCTTATTAACTTTTAATTCCTGTAATTATATTTAAACCCTTCAACACCTGAAATTATCGCAGTCTTATCTGTCTCCGGACCTCATTTAATTACTAGTCATTCCCTCCCCGAATGATTTTGAATTCCATCTTCCAATGAACTCACACCTGTCATTGTACAGACATATATATAGTATTGGCAATACTTGTCATTTTAATTCTTTCCGTCATCAAAGTCTAATGTTTCCCATTATATCATACCTTAATGCCAACTTTTACTACATATATGGTTGTAAGCAGCTGATGCTAAACCACAAAATATAATGAATTCATATTCTGCCTCAATCGTTGTTTTAGCTTTATTCAAACTAGTGAAGAACATTAGGGCTGGTAAGCGGAAATATGTAGGAGACCTGAGAACGACAGCAGGAAAGTTTGCAAAAGAAGGAATTATATAAGAACTACATGATACTATTAAAAAGCCAGTGGAGAAAGAAAAGCAGTACACAGACCTCCCTACAGATATTGCTTCACCAACAGCAAGAGATATTAGCAAGGCAACCATATAAACCAGTAATGCCAAAGTACCATAACCAGAGAGCATACCATTGCTGATGTCACAGGTATTCAGTGTTTGACAACGCTTCTACCAGTAACACCTTCTTATGTGTTTCGTTCCCACCCAGAGAAATCAAACGACAGGGTCGAGGAGATCGGAAGAGTATATTTGGCGATGACCAATATATCGGAATTCTCTGATCTAATCCGGCTAGCGATTGCGGTTGATGTTGAGCACGGCGTTACCACACGTGATCTGGTGCGGATGCCTGACCGAGCGCCTTCAGCTAGATGAGTCCACTAAAACATATGGTTAGCATCCAATGTCGAAAACTTACAGGGCTATTAATTTTGGAGATTTATTTACCGCTACAAATCACTCCCCCCTAGTGGGGCAGTGACGACCCTAACACGTGGCCAGCCAGAAGTTTAAACCCAACAAGTTTGTCGTTGGTAAACACTCTTCTGATAGCTTACTAAGTGTAGCAGCGTCTGGTCGTCTTTCCTTACTATATGGGACCGAGGTACAACATAGTAAAAAAAGAAAAAGTTGCAACGAAAATTTCGACTCCTCGTAACTGCATCGTTCTTTTCCAGCCGTCCTGGAAAAGAAAAAATAATATGTAAGTGCATGTCGAAATACACTCGTATGTGCGTAAAAGCACAATGTCGGCGAAAAAATGGAAAATAAACTCAAGCACACGTAATAGCGTTAAAAAAATAATTTTGTTTTTTTTTGTGTTTTTTTAAAATAAAAATATAAACATATAGGCATATTAAAATTGTTTTGTTTAAAAAAAATTATATATCGTAAAAAGAAAGATCGAGATAATATAAAACGTCGAGTAGTGCTTTACGTGCAGTAGTCGTTTAAATGTTCTGGAAATCTTACTCTTCTTCCAGAACGCGTCCTTTTAGGTTTATTTTCAGATACATTCGGAGTATCGTCGCTAGTGTTGGTTGTCGGTTGGGGAATTATGAGTGTAGGAGTCGTGTTGTGCGATTGTACCGAAGGAAAGTCGACGTGAATAGGATTTCCTTCTAAATACGCTGCTTTTAAGCGATCGATGCTGATGCTATCGTTTGTTCCGTTCTTATCGACTATATAGTACTTAGATTCACGTTGAAGAACTTTGAAAGGTCCTTCGTACGCTGATTCGAATGGTCGTCGATGCGAGTCTCGACGTACGAAAACGTGTGTACTATATCGTAAGTCAGGTTGAACGAATACATCAGTTGATTGAGGTCGAGTGGAAGCAGGTTTAACTGAACGCATTGCGTTTGTAAGCCTGTTCGTGTAGGAGGTTAGATCCATGTTCATTGAAGAGGACGAAGGATCTGTAGTGACTCACGTTTATCACGAGAACACGACTGGTTTAATAAAAACAATTATTATTATAACCAACTGTACCAGTGTTTGTTTTAATGTGCTTTTGTTTGACTGTGCTAATGACAGCTATTTCGTGCTTCCATTCTTATACTTACACTTCGATTGTAACTTCGCGCGAATTCGGTTACCTTCTGTAACCAAGGTTGTATCCTGGCACGATCTCGGTATCCTTTCGATGCCACGAGATCGCCAGCAAATATAACTCGACTTGGTCCATTAATTGCCTTCTGGTATTCGGCTTCTCGGGATTTTATGGAGTCATTTGGAACGAGCTTCTTACGCCTTCTGATCTATTTGGCACGTGTTTCTTGGTAGCGGTGTTCATAGTTAATCACAACTCGACGCCACGCTACATTGGTGACCCGTATTTTGGAACACGCCTCAACTTCTGATCAAATCTTCCAAAGAAGCCAATTCGGTGAGTCTATGATTTATCTATCCACGTCTGTCGTATATTTTCATATTTTTTAATATATAATATACGCGACATGACGGATAACGATAAGAATAGTATTAATATAATAGACTCACACGTATGTGTACCGAATCCTTGTCACTTTTTATTCGCGTGATGATGAATTCCACGCTTTATTCGAGAAATGTTTCCCTATTAACTATTCTCCTCGCTGACCCGGCTGCTTGGTACGGAATGCATACGCATGAGCATATCCGTCTACCACACAGCACCAAATGGTTAAGTAAACGGTTTCACTGCCAACTTAAAATGCTCTACGAGCACACGAAAACGGCAACTGGCACGAAACCTTACCGCTCGTTCTTTTAGGGATCAGAACGAGCTTAAAGGCAGATATCCAATGTTCCGCCCTTGAACTTGTATACGGCACGACATTGCGTCTGCCCGGAGAATTCTTCACACCACGGAGCAGACCTAATTTCGGTAAATCAGACTACGTCCATCGACTGTCTGCATTTATGCGAACGCTGTCTCCGGTGTCAACTCGAATACAACATCGACAGGTCGCTCTCCCTCGAGAGTTATCTACCTGTTCACATGTTTTTGTACGAGTAGATTCGGTACGCAAACCTTGGCAACAACCTTACGAAGGCCCTTTTCACGTGATCGCTCGTCACGAAAAGACCTTCAAGGTTGATCGACATGGCCGCGTCGAGATCGTCAGCATTGATCGTCTCAAACCAGCACACGTCGATGACAGTGCCCTATCTGACAACCTGAGATTCAATGCTAGACCTAGCAAACCTACTAGCGGGATCCTCAAATCATCTTCAGGTCCCACGCTAGATACATCTGAGACCTCATTCTCACGTCCCAGTCAACAGCACGCGTCATCTGCACCGTCTACGGACGAGACGACAGTCTCACGTCCAGATCAGCAGACCACGCCGCCCTTGACTTCGGATGAGGTTGCAGGCTCACGCGACGCGAACGAGACTACCGTCTCACGTTCCGGTCGCCGAGTACGGTTACCCGTACGCTTCCGCGACTAGCCGCACAGTTAAAAAACGATAC